AAAAAAAATGGCCCCTTGGTAAGGCTAATCCTAAATAACAGAAGCAGCAGCCAACAAAAAACCTGGTTAATAAGTTGACTAAATTAAGACACAGCTGCCTTCAAAATCATGAGACTTTATTTGCTAAAGATTTTGGACAAAAGAGTCTGTCCACAGAGCCCAATAATCTAGAGTTTTAATCAAATGAGGCATATGTTACAAGAAACAGATCTCTGTGAGTCATTGATTCACTTCGATTTCTAGACTTGTTTCAGAAGTCCTTTTGGCTCAGCTGAGCAGTGGATTCATTAGGGCTTCACCTCTGCAGCTTGCAGGGTCCCCTGGGCCTAAAGAGTACAAAGGGTGGCTTTCCAGGGCCAGAGAAACATGGCCCCACACATCAGCTCTCTCGCTTCTCAGCTGTCAAACTTAAGCAACACACCTCTTTTCTCAGAGCCAGGCTCCAACTTGGTGAAGATGAAATAAATTGTATTTGTAAGACACCTAACTCAAAATGCCTAAAAATGACTCTTCATTGTCTGCTTACAACATTTATCCTTAGGATACAGTTATCCTTAAGATAGTTATCCTTAAGTTACAGTTAAGATACAGTTACAGTTATAAGATACAGTTATACAGATACCAAATTTTAAAACTGCTTTACATCAACTTAGAAGCTAGGTAGTATGATATATGCACACTTTTGAAAAGAAATAAATATACTGACCAGAATTTCTTGGTGCCTTCTTTTATGACAGTAGGAAAGAAAAATGATTCTGAAGCAAAGATAAATGTTATAGAGAATACAGTTTCCTTTAGTTTTTATTTGATCTTTTTATTCTCTCTGAAGACACAATCTCAAAGAATGTAGAAAACTTCAAAAGTAGAGTAGAAGCACTCACATTGACACACTGAGACCTTTGAGACTTTCTGTGTACCCAGTGGTTTGTTTTGTTTACACAGCAAAATACCAGTGTGGAATTGGGAGCAGGCTTCCATGTTGGAGCCTAGAGTGAAACCCTAGGTCCGGGTGATTTCACACACTTAAGTGTTCAGCACATGAGGAAAAAGAAGTGTGTCCCTGGTTCATTTCTGTTGTCAATACTGTATATCTCAATTCTGTCACAGGTTTTGAGTTATAAACTTGTTACTTCATCATCACACTCCAGGAAATGTTTAGGCTCTAGCAGATTAAATCCAGTAGGTGCCTGAAGCTGTGTCCTGGACAAAGCAGTGGTTCATCATTTGCTTGCATTAAAAATTTGTTGAAAGCACTTACTATAAAGATAATTGTTTGCTTTTGTTTATTGGTTTTATTTTCTCCTCTTTTTTCCAGGATTATGACAGTTTTTTTGAATCAAAGGAGAGCAACACAGTCCTTTCATTCTTAGGATTGAAACCACGGTTGGCATCAAACGTAGGTTGATCGTTTCCTGTTCTTTGTTTTAGAATCCATCTTTCTTATATTGTTGGGAATTGAGGCTGATGTTATTAAAGGGATACATATACTGTATAGTTTCCTAAATTTTTAGTTTTTGTTTTCTCAAATACGTAATTCTGAACTATCCAGTGTTAAAATATACAAATAAGCCATTTCTTTTCCCATTTTAAGTTGTTGCTATAAATTTAAGTATTAGTTTATTTATAATTTATACCTATTTTTCCAAGAAGAATTTCAGGTAGCAAAAGGAAGTGGCTGCTTTCTGTTTTAAACTGCAGATTGATGTGACAGTTCTGTCAGTGGGTTCCACATTCACAGATTCAACCATGGATTGAAAATACTTTTAAAAAATCACATCTGTACTAAGCGTGTACAGACTTTTCTTCATGTTGTTATTTTGTGAGTAATATAGTATAACACCTGTTCACATAGCACTTGCACTACACTTAAGCAGTGCGGTGATGGTTTGAAATATATGGGTGCGTGTACACAGGTCCTGTCCAGACCCTGTGCCACTTTATACAAGAGGCACAAGCACCTGCAGATCTGAGGGCCCCATAGCTGCGAGGCAGTTGTGCTCTAAGTTTCTTAAAATAACAAAATCAAAGCAATATCCAAAAGATCTTCTGCTTGTTTAAACTTATTTACGTTGGGCAGAAGATGGTCTATAGCAACAAGTGGTCAACCTTGAAGAAAAATGCTGGGATCTTAAATCAGTCATGATATGGTAAAGCCTCTTTATTAAGTCTTTTGTCTTTGGCAAACCATAAAGGACTTGAACTTGCCTCTTGTTTAGGCCTAGAAAGTAGAAATGATGTATATTTTCACAGTTTTATTAACCATATTATTATTATGTTTAATATTGCTAAACATGGATTGACTTTCAAAATAAAAATGGTATTTATTAACTAAGATAATATTTTTATTTTTTTAAACAGTTTTTTTTTTAGGTTATAAAAGTAGCCTGAGCTCATTTAGAAAAATTAAGAAAATATAAAAAAATACAAAGGAGAATATAAAAATGACTCTCCAGAGCTAACCACATTGAATTTTTGCATATTTCCTTACAGTCTTTATATATATAGTAATTGAGGTTTTGACTATATTTAAAATTGAGAATGAATCCTGAAGTCTATTTTTAACACAATTGAACTGGAAGTGCATTACTGGAGCTTTATCATCTGTGATAGGTCTTTCGAGGCTGTCCGTGCTGTGCACCTTGTCTAGAACACCTGTAGGAGGAAGGCAGCGATCATCAGTAGTATAAATGACAACCAGCACCTGCAGTGGAGGGCCAGTGTGAAATCGGCTTTGTTTTTACATCAGTGAGTCCACAGATGGTGGTGGGTGGTTTCTGCACATGTTTTAAGCAGAGGCAAAACCCACACATAAAGTCTTTACTGGTCCTTAAAACTATTTTTGTAAAGATAGAACATTTGGATACTTGTTAGGAAAATTAAGATTTTTTTATAACGTGTTTCATCCAAAGATACCAAACAATCCAGATTTATCTTCAGAAAACTATAAGAAACTGGGGCAGGGGTTATGTAATGGATGCATAAATCCAGTGAGCATCACGGTCTGTGTAAAAACCTTTTATAAAATACTACATGACTGCCATCTGCGTTACATTTTCCCCCAAAGATAGAGATTCCCTAGAGAATTTTTTTTTTTTGAGGGTGGGGAGCTGTCACATCCCCATCTCACAGCCACTGATGGAATTCAGTTGCTCCAGGCTGTAACATCCATGCTCTCTTGCTTTTTCAAACCAGCAAGGAGAGAGAGCCTGTTCCCAGCTGAATCACTACACATAATGGAGCAAGGAAGTAGGACAGGAACCCCCACTGGGACAAGAGACAGGGATTCTCCAGTGTTTTTGTTTTTTCTTTGGTTTTTGGTGGTTTTTTTGGTACTGGGGATTGAACTCAGGACCTTGTGCTTGAAAGGCAGGCGTGGCACCACTGAGCTAAGTCCCCGGTCCCTGTCTCCAGTCTTAATCCATACCGGTTACCAAAAAGTGAAGGTGTCCTTTTCCCTACCCTCCCTTACCAACAGTGTATGGAAGGCACCTTTCCCTTATCTTCTGTCTCTCACTGATGGACCAGGTGCATTTGTACCAGCAGGAGTGCCCCATAGGGTCTCCGAGGGTGAGAAGAACCACTAATCCACACTGCACTTGTGACCCAGTGGGAAATTACCAGACCTTACCACCCAGTGAGGCCATTAAAGTTGTCTCTTCCCTTTGTTGATGGGTCAGTCTGATCTTCTCCACCAGCGCTGTGTCCCTTCAGTGTTCCTTCTATGCAAGCTGAAGTCTCCCCACTTCCTCTTCCTTCTCAATTGAAGCTTTTCCCTGTAAATTCATGCCATTTCCTCAGATTTAAATTTCTGTAAACGCAAAAATAAGTTCCCATGAATGACTTGTATCACCAAGACAGTTTTGTTGTGTCCAGTCTGAACGCCTAACCATAATTTTAAAAGATGTTTTATATCACTAAGTTCTGGATTGACTGGCTATCAAAAAGTAGTGACTAGAATAATGTTATATGTCTATATTTGTATATGTATCTATCTAATTTTTTTTGTTTTTAATAGTAAATTTAGTAATTTCCATTTTATTTTTTGTGCTGTTTTATAAATTTTATTTTTTAATACAACTTTATTAGCCAAAAATCTGTATACTACACAGTTTGCAAACTTAAAAGGTAAGATTCAATAGACTCCAGTACATTGACAGAGTTGACAGTGACCACAATCAAATTTAGGTCATTTTCGCCATCCCAAATCAAAACACTCTACCTACCAGTCCTCATTTCTCAATCCCTCCTCCCTAAATTGAGGTAACCCACTGAGCTACTCTCTGTCTTCATAAATTTTCCTATTCTGGGAATTTTTTTTTCTTTCAAAATAGGCCATGCTCAGAACAACAATAAACATTAATAATCATAAACATTAACATATCTAAAGAAGTATACATTGTCTGATGTGAGCTCTCACACCATATTAATGAAGCCAGAGACTGACAACAAAAAATACTTAAAATATAATTACTTTTTTCTCTCTCTTTTTTTCTCTCCTCTTTCCTATTAAATTTTTTATATAAGGGAAACTATTACAATATACAAGTTTGTGTGTCTGATTTACTTTACTTAACATTGTGGTCTCAAGGTGCATCCATTTTCCTACAAATGCCTCAAGTTTATCTTAATGGCAGAGTAGTATTCCACTGTGTGTCGGTATCACATTTTCTTTATCCATTCATCTGTTGATGGGCATATAGGTTGATTCCAAGATTGAGCTATTATGATTTGTGCTGCTATAAACATAAGTATACATATATCACTATGGTATAATGTTTTTAACTCTAGAAAAGATACTCCAAAAGGAAATAGCTGGCCAAATGGAATTTCTAGTTTTGGTTTTTTGAGGAATCTCTATACTGACTTTCATAACGGTTGTATCAGTTTACACTCCCACCAGCAATAAAGAAGGGTTCTTTTCTCCCCACATCCTTGCCAGCATTTGTTATTGGTTGATTTCTTGATGGTAGACATTCTTTCGGGAGTGAGATGGAGTCTCAGGTTTGTTCTAATTTGCATTTCTCGAATGGCCAGAGATGTTGAACATTTTTCCGTGTATTTATTGGCCAATTGTATTTCTTCATCTTAGAAGTGTCTATTCATTTCAGATCTCCATCTTTTGATTGAGTCTTTAAATGTGGTGGTGGTGGGGGTCTAAGGTTTTTTTGAGCTCCTTATGTGTTCTAGATGTTAGTCCTTTTTTTAATTAAAATATTTTATTTTATTTTATTTTATTTTATTTTACTGGTACCAGGGATCAAACTCAGGACCTTGTGCTTTTGAGGCAGGCACGGTGCCACTGAACTAAATCCCCAACCCTAGGTGTTAGTCCTTTGTCTGAGAAATAGCTGACAAAAAAATTTTCCCATTCTGTAGCTTGTCTCTTCACTTTGTTGGTGGTTTCCTTTGATATGCAAAAACTTTTTAATTTAATCTGAGATCCCATTTGTTGATTCTTGGTATTATTTCTTGTGCAACCAGGCTTTTATTCGGAAAGTCCTTGAATACACCTGTGTCTTAGAGAGTTTTGCCTATTTTTTCTTCCAACAAATTATGTGTTTCTATTCTAATGTTGAGATTTTTGATCCATTTTGATTTTAGTTTAGTGTATGGAGAGAGATATGGGTCTAAGTTCAACCTTCAGCATATGGCTAGCCACTTTTTTAAAACAATTTATTCTCTAGAATTATTCAAGAAATCTATAGATTTATAAAGTATGCATTCTAACATGAATTGTGCTCACATGAGTTGGTGCCATGAAGTTGGCTTGATTTCAGTGGACCATTCCAGAGGTCAGAAGGGCCAGAGCATGCGCACCCACCAAGCTCACCACTTTCAGGTGCTTGAATCATCATCTATCCTGGGCTGCAGCACTTGGGGCCAGAGCAGAGGTCCATGGTGCAGTGTGCTGCTCATGCTCATGAACTCTTATGGGCCTTGAAGGTAATAGCAACTCATTTCATCTTTACATGAGAAAAGTGAAAATATCTATAAGAACAATTCTGCCTTTTCCCCTTTCTGTGACTTACTTTTGTACCTCCGTAATAATTCATTATATAGTTGATCATCTAAGGCTTTGACTGAGCTTTCACAGATTTAATGTCCTAGAGGATGAAGCCCCCATCCTCCTCCTCCTCCTGCTGTAGTAGAAGTACATGAAGGACAAGGCTGGAAAGCCCACACAGAAGGACGTCATGAGAATCTGCAATTCTTCTGCACAGAAAGAGAGGAACATTCATGGCCCCGCAGTCACAGGGAGAAAGGAACCTAGAGTAGGCTGGGTCTGGGCTGCTCCCCAAAGTAGACAAGACAGAAGAAAGAGGCAGGTCTCCAATGGTGGCCTGCAGGCCACGCTTGGTCTGCGTGTATTTATATTGTTTCACCAGCACAGAATTTTTGAAAGTAAAAAGTAAATGCATTGCTAATATTTAAAAGACTGCCCACATTTCTTGAGGGTGGAAGATGTGGAAACTCCAGGGTCAGGGGAGCACTTTCCTTCATGAGTGCCTGGATCCAGGCTGGTTGCCCCATCTTGGTACATACCTAACCCTGAGCAAAGGAGGCCTTCTCAGAAATACTTTTCAGGTAGACACTCATCACATTTGTTTTTAGTACTCTCCAAGTAGAGCCTGTTGTAGAGATTTCTGCTTCCAGGTCCCTGTCATTTAGCAGTGATATTCAAAATGTGTAACAGAAGGCAAACCTGCACATTGGCCAGGCAGAGCTGGAGTGGGTCACAGAGCCTCCTGTGCCAGGTATAGCAGTTTGGTGATTGGTTATTAACAGGCATGTCCACACCAGTGCTGTCCGTCGCTTAGGGTTACCATTAACCCGAACCTCTGCTGGCCTCCTCATTGTGGTAACACTCACCTACGCATGAGCTGGTACCTTTCTGAGAGCAACAGCAGACTGTTAAAAACTGTAATATTTGATAGGTTGGATGGGTATGATGTAAATCTGAGCTCTGATCCTAAAACCCAGGATGTGCTCTTATTAATCATATAAGGGTGATATATTATGATTTCCAACATGTATGTTCCTGACATTTAAAAAGTCACTGCCAAGGGAAATTTTTCTTGTCAATGCAGTGCAGTCCAATAACTGGTGCCTTTTTTCTTTTGACAGGCAGAACCCTAGAGGGGAAAAGTGGGAGGTGATGTGACGGAGATGCATTTGGAACAACACCTCCTGGTATCAGCATACACCTGCTTACCTAATGCATCACTGTGACAAAAGCCACATGCACCATCAGTAACTTTGCTTGCCATGGAAAAGGTGTTTGGAAGATGTGGGTGTAAGGGGATTGCATGATTGCTTTAAACCAAATCAGAACTGTGGTGGGTTTGGGTGGGGGTTTTTTGGGGGGTTTTTTTCTTATTTTCAGATTGCCCTGCAGTTACCTTGCCTGAAAGTACTGTTACCCGTTATAGGTATGCTTCTTTTAATAACTGATATATAAGCAGGGGCACCATCAGAGAGAAAATACTGGATCTGCCCTTTGTTGTAGCAGATAACAGTATTGTATACACTCACTTCTCTGTGAGCTTCCTGGATCACATCCTTGACATTGTCTGCCAGGCTGTTATAATCTGAATGAGAAAGAAAAGAAATCTATGCTGATTGCAAAAGGCCTTTGAAGACTTTCGCTGCAGAACCACAAATGCCACTCTTCCAGTGCTTTGTCTTCACATCTATTGAAAAAGCTGCTCCAGACTTTTTTTTTTATTGGAAACTCTTACCCCCATGAATCCTCTAAACTCCTACATGTGTTTTCAGAAATCACTGTTGTAATATTATATGATTCCCACCAGGTTACAGAGATGAAAATAATTGCTATTTTGGAAAATATATTCTTCTTTATCTCTTTCAAGGGGAAAGTTTCACCTAAACACACAAGACTGCTTGAAAGACTTATTTTAAGAGGTGCACAAATTAGAGAGTAAATTTATAGGAAAACTGCCAGATTAGTAACTGAAGGGAATTTCAGCTGTAGCGATTTATATATACATAAGTGCACATATATTTTTAAAATGCAGCTCCCCTAACAGCTGCTTGTTCTATTTTGTGAAGGGATTCTATTTTTTTTGAGAAAGGCAAAATCTCAGTTAAATATACTTTATGAACCCTTGATGAGGCATATTAAAAGATACCAATATTGGTGTACAATTAAAAATTTCTTCCTGTGTTACTTTTCACTGTTCTTCTACCTTGCTTATATTTTTTTCCAGTACACAGCCTTGGACTTTTCTGAGTAATACAGATACACATTCTTGTTCCACTCTACTAGAGTGGGTATCCAGAGCAGCATGTAAGAGGAAAGGGCTGTTTAGAAAGTAGCTCTGAATTGTACTTGACAAGCAAATCTCTCCTCCCACTGCAGTGGGTGCTGATAAACACTGGACGTGTCTACTTCATTGGGCAGAGACTACTTTTCTGTGTCCCTGTGTTTTTTAGAGTTTGAAATTGCCAAACATGGGAACAGCCTTGACTAGCATCAACTCTCAGAGGGTTGACTATAATACTCAACTGTTCCAGGCATCCTATGCTAGACCTTTCATTATGATTGCAAGAAGGAAATTTATGAGAAATTGAAAGAGGAAATGAATTAAAGCCCCCGTCTCCTGCTTCATGCCTTGCTAGCTGTGGAGTGTTCTGTAGAACTTTTTGAACGCTAGAGCTGAAACCCCTGAGACTACAGGACTACAATCAGAAGAGCCATGGTGAGTTCTTCTCAACTAGAATAGATGCACGATCCACAACTTTCTCTGCTAGGAAAGTTTTTGTCAAATCATGGATGTTCCTGATTAGCTGGTGTCAAAACAAGATCCAGGTCAAATTCCATTTGATAAATCCCAGGGACTACCCAGGAATGTTTGGTTTTTTTTTTTTTCTGACGGGGTATTATGTTTGAGTATGTGAGTCTTCTAATAACACTTAGAATTTCTTTTTAAGATGCAGAAATTTAAAACATTGCTATTAATAATTACCCACCTTGCATTTATTCTGTTCTTACCAGTGAGTGCCAAGGACCAATTTTGTAAGATTGAAGCTGTGCAAGTTCTGGGGCCGCAGGATCAATACCATCCTTGTTAGACAGAGAAAGCAACCCAGATTTGTCTAAGTACTTTGAATTAACCACAGTATACCTAGTGTGATTATATTAAACATACTAGATGGATAGCAGTGCTAAACTACTACAACTTTTACATGACATCCTCTTACCACAATTTTTTGTTTGTTTTTGGATCAGCAAAGGAATACAAGAGAACAGCATTCAGGGCTTACTGTGTTTGTTCTGATGGGCGAGATCCATGGTGTGTGGCATTTACCACGGTGGCCAGGCCGCACGGAGTCCCACAGCATCGTCCTCGGGGACCTGCCCTGTCCTTCCTTGTATTCTTCTACCAGCTGAATTCCAAGCATGAAATAATGATTTTCTTGTTCCCTTTAACTAGCTGCCTTTATTTAGATTTTGATAATCAGAGTCTTAAAAACCTAGGAAAGAAGTGGATTTCCAGGCATAGACACAATAGCAAGGGCATTTCCAGGGAGAATTTTAATTTTCTATAGTAAGCTTTTTGGGACAAAGGACGTGTGATACTAAACATCAAATCATGCCATTTTAAAATTAGATAAAATATAGAGTGCCATCCTGCAGGATGTATACAGACAAGAAAATTAGGAAAATACTTGGGTTTTTTTTTTTCAAATTCTTTATTTTATTAAAATCAAAAGGAAGAAAAGATATTTTGCCCCTAGGCTCTAACATATTGTAGATTTGTTTCTGTTTTATAGATTTAATTCAACACTCATACATAGATTTTTTTATATTATATGAATTTAATAATGAGGTCAACTTGTTTTTGTCTTTGATTATTGAAAGATACCAAAGGTATTCCTGTTTTGTTTCGTTTTGTTTGATTTTATTACAGGGTTTTGCTTTTTGTAGAAATTCCTTTTGTTTAACAGCTTCTCTTAAATGTCAGGATCCACTTCAGTCTGCATAATTATTGTTTTTAGATTTTCATTTGTACGTGTTTGTCTCTAAAGGCATTGGTAAAATCTCAGATTTTATGTTCAGCATTAAAGGGGAATAAATTCCAGAAAACACACATTCTGAAAATGGAGTTTCTGTTCCCTCCCATTTCTCAGACCGTCCCTAGTTCTCGTTTTGGTTCACCTGAACTCTTTTCTGTTTGGTTGGTCTGCTTCCCTGCATGAATCCCCCACGTGAAAGCTGCAGATTCCTTGGTAAAAACGCAGGTGGATTATGTGCCCTTTGAGGACTGCGCATGCCTATTGGGAGCCATCCAGACAGCGCCAGGGCTGAGGCTGCAGGGGCTGATGGTTGGCATGAGCCTAGCTGGTGGAGTGGTCCCCTGTTGCTTGCAGAAACAAGGTCAGGTGGGCGGACTCCTCTGGTGGATTCCCTGTGAGGAAGCCACTACCTCTGGAAGCAGAAGAAAACATTTTTTAAAGGGAGTGTTGAGGGTGATCTCATCACTGTGCAATTTCAAACCTTAAACCCTCAGAGGAGAGGGTAGAGGAAAGGTTCAAAGGAGACAAACTGTACATTTGCAGAAATACACTAAATCATTAACCCAGAAAAGCAAAGTGATCACTGCCTGCTTGTGACCCAGATTTCCAGTTTTCCTAGGTCTGGAAATGCCTGTCAGGCTAGTTTGGTCATCCTTACCGTCCATGTGTGGAGCCCTTGGGATGTGATGGGTCCTGTCAGGGCAGGACAGTCACCTCCACCTGAGGATGAGGGAAGCAGGTACAGAAGCAGCAGCACAACTGCTCGGTGACAGAGTTCAATTCTAGCACTCAGGGCTGAGGTGTGTCATCTCAAACAATGCCTGCCATCTTTGTGTTGCTGTTGTTGTTGAAACCATCCCATTTTTTAAAACAATATTACAAATGCATTCATGTGCATTATATTTATTTATACATAAATATAAAGTATAAGGAGTAATAAACAAACCCCTGTGTGCCTGCCGCCCACCTTATGCCTTTCCTGTGAGGCACTGTGCTCTTCCCCAAACCATCTCCCTACCTGTCTGATCAAGGGAGTCCTGTCTTGTATTTGTGTTGACTGTAGCCTTCCTGTCGTTTATCATTCTGCTTCCATATATGTACACTTAAATAATAATAAATGCAGTTAAACTGGATTTCTTGTCCCTTCCTTTTTATGTTCATAACAGTGGGAGTTTTCACTGCTAAGTATTTTTCCATTGTATGAATGTATCATAATTTTTCCCTTCTCCAGTTGTTGGTTATTGAACTGCATGCGGTTTGAAATGATGCTGTGAAAATTCTTTTCTGTGATGTCTGGTGCACAGAAGTGGGTGTATACCTTGAAGAGAACTGTCGGGTTGGACAATATAAGCACATCAGCTTTAATAGATAGGGTCAGATTATGTTCCTACCACTATGCTACCATTTCCAGAGCTCTGGATCCCAGCCAACCTTTGGGATAACCAGAGTAAAATTGCTGCCTAAGCTGAGGGATATAAAATGGTATCTTACTGTGGTTTCTTTGGGTATATTTTTATTAGTAGTATGTTGAGCATGTTTATTGTGGAAAGTCCTAAGTCTTCTTGGAAATCCCTCTTCTTTTACCTTTTTCCCTATTCAATTTTGTGTTTTTAGTTATTAATGTTTAAAATGTATTTATGCTTCCCTATTGGTCAATACTAATTTAATACTTATTTTCTTATTTTTACATATTTATGTATGTACGCATGCACTTATTTATTGCAGCATTGGGGATCAAACCTATGATCAAAACCTATGATCTTGCACATGCGGAGTATGCACTCTGCCCAGATCCCAAGATTTAACTGTTAAGGAGAAACCAGATTAGAAGTAGAAAAATTGGGCCGGGGATTTAGCTCAGTGGTTTCGCTGCCTGCTGCACAAGCACAAGCACCTGAGTTCAATCTCCGGTACCAAAAAAAAAAGTAGAAAAATCTTCTGAAGCTATTTCCAGAAATATGAAAAGCACGTAAGTCTTTATTCCATTTGCATAAAGTTAAGTGCATTCATTTTGTGTTTTTGCAGCCACTGATTTTCAACTCTCAGCATGTTAGCTGAGAGGTGCTTTGGGACTCTGCTTTCGGAGGGTTCCTTCTTTGAGGCCCTTTTAAGGCTCATCAGTTGCCGATATTTGGCAGGAAATTAATGTCATTCATGTTACAATTTAGTTTTCTGCTTCAGGATTTCACCAAAAGGAAATATTTATATAGACTTCATGTTTATAGATACATATTTCCTTAGTATGTCAACGCAAAATGGCCCTATAACAGTGAGGCAAAATGATATACTTAAAAGAACATTAAACAATTATTTCTCTAAGTCTCAAGAGAGAGTATTGAACCTTTGCTTCTAATTAAACAGTCCTTAAGTTGAATGAGGCTGGTCTGTCTTGTGCCGACCATAACCTAGTGTGTTGTGGCAGCAGTGCATTCACTCGCTCGTGAACTGACTGGGGGTAGAAGAACAAGAGTCATTTTCCTGCCCGAACTTTCTCCTAACTCTGAAAATGTCTTTAATAGATGGAGAACACTGATATTTAAAAGTATATTAAATGGCAACTTGATTTTTTTTATAATGACTGGAACAAAGATTTCGACCTTTCTGTGAGCCTGCTGATGTGTACCACTTTTGGTCCTGTAATGATACACTTACTTATGACCAAGCTCTCCCCTGAAAAAGCTCCAATGCAGCTGTCTTCACCTTGTGACAGACGGGAGCTCCAGCCTAGCACAGCACTGTCCAGCATGGTACCACCAATCCACATGTGGCTCTTCAGCATTAAAGTGAACCAGGTTGAATTTGTATTTTATATTCCGGATTTTGCAGATTTAGTGGAAAGATTATAAAATACCTCTTTAATAGTTTTTATATTGATTATATATTGAAATATATTACTTTCGATATATGGAGTTAAATATTAAAAATTTTTACTTTTTCCTTTTTTTAAATGTCCCTAGAGAATTTTAAATGACATATATGACTTGCATTATATTTCTAATGAATAATACTATTCTAACCAACCACTTTACTTGAATTTACACTAGAGAAATAGATAACTTTAAAATTTTTTTTTAGTTTTTGGCAAAATCTCTCTTTCGTTCATTTGTAATACTGAAGGGAAATATGAACATCTTTGGGAACATAATTTTCTAATACTGTTGCCAAGATAAATGCTTTTCTCACTTTCCTTTCTGCCCAGCTGGCTTGAAGGATTTTTGTGGTGAAAGAAGAGGTTCTTTTTGCCTAGAAAAACAGAATTAACGTAATGTTGCAGGTAGTCACACTATGTGACATCTCTATATGTCTACTCTCTGATGTCCCCTGTTACATTGGCCTATATCTGTGAACAAAGGCACAGTGACATTTTTATTTTTTTAAAGGGGATTTAATGAACCACACTGATACCATCTGTAATCTGCAGGACAGTGATGAATATTAATAGGTTTTAGTCCTAGATTTCTCTATATGTATAATACTCATTTGAGCTCATAAGAATGTGTGGATAATCTGCCTTTAAAAAGTTTCTTTCTGGTCTCATTACCAAAGATTAAAACAGAAGGTTGTACATATAATTGAAAAATTATTCCTTTCCTTGCCCAGAATTGCTAACCATTTCTTTTAGCTGTTGTCCTAGAAAAAATAATTTTGGGGAGAAACCCATATCGCTTTTATCCTTAAAAAATTGACAGTAGCAGTATTCATTAAGGAGAGGAATTTTTTGTTTTTGTTTTTCTGTTTGGGATTCTTCCATGAAATAAGGGAGTGGTTGAAGCATTCTTGAGAGTCCAAGAGGTGCCAGGCTTCTGTGTTTCATGCAGTAACCAATCCTGTTGCTCTGGCTCTCACTCTTTGTCACACTAATGAATAATCACAGCTGAATAGCATTTAGCTTTTGGGGATGGTGAGACAACTTGACCAAAATAAATATTATTTTGTTTCTTGATATTAAACTAAAAGTTCTCTCATTTTTCTCCCTGCCAGTCCACTCTTGGTATGTGTTATAACACTAAGCTGAAATACAGATTTGGGGTCTGGAGATCCCACAGTTGGCACAGTGACTCACTCTGAGATCAGTACCAGGGCTGATAGACTCTGGCATTGACTCTGTTCCCCTTCCTCACTCTCCTGTCTTTGTGGTGAACCACTTTCAACATGATGCTCCTGGCCACTCCCACCTAACAAGTAAGGGTAGCAGAAGTGAGGACCACAGGCTGGGAGGCAGAAGGATGGTGGCAGCTGCAACTTCCCTTACTGGATGTCTTGTTTCACCTACCTGATAATACTTATTATCCTACATGCCAGTCATAAATGAGAAACTGAATACTGACAGGTTTTCTAGCCCAGTAACAAGGTAGCCCAATAACAATTTCAGGAGTTACCAACTTAGCAGCCAAAATAACTGTAACATTCAGACTTCGGAACGACTCTGAAGGACAACAAGCAACCACTTCCACTTCCCGATCACAGCTCACTGAGGAAAGCTGTTCCAGGGGACCCATTCTCTAGGGGCAGCTTTCCTAGAGCCCCCCAAAGTGTAAACAGTTCCATCTGCTGTGAGGCTAGAGGTATTGCTGGAAGCAGTTAGATGCAAGCAAAATGACAAGTCGGTGATAGAAGAATTTGGAGGCAGATGGTGTCCACCTTAGAAGACAGCTGTCTCTCCAAAATGCATCAGTTTAGCAATGCATGGATTTTAGATTTTGGTGAAGATAGATCTGTTTAATCCAACGTTCTCCCCATTACGGAGAACTGCTTAATTAGTCAACCTCATGCAAGTGGCTCTTTATTGGGTGAAATTTTTGATATAATTCACATTCTAATTTTTTGCTGATTGGATTAGCAGCAACCTTTGCATGGTTCATGATTGAGAAAAGAATCCTCAAATAATTTTCCCAGCCAAAGCCTGAGAATCTGTGCTAAAAAGTTAGTTTTTCCTTTGTACCTTTAATTTGGTGAACACCTGAAAAAAGAGAAAATAAACTCTTCTCTTTTAATAAAGGCATAATAACAATCACCACTTTAAGCCCATATATATTATTTTTTAAAAAACAGATCAGTTCTTGCCTTATTCCAAGGAGTTTGCTGATTACCAAGTGTTATGTTTGCATGATACTGTGGAAGAAGAAAGTATGTTATTCTTTGTAACTTAACATGTGAACATAAATATTTAGGGTTTAATACTTTCAAAGCTCCTTTTTGGGTGTATTTTATTTGGTTTGGGCCGGCTTTGTACTAAGAAATTACGTGTATGTCCTCTTTTTATTTGTATACAATAAATATATCATAAAAGCTAATTCTACAGTCAGATGTAATATATGGTTTATTAGCTTGTGTTCACTAGTCTGTTTGATATTTAAATATATGATAGCCATCTACTCAAAAGTCTAGTCCTACTATACCACTAGAACTTTGACTCCTTACATCTTCTTTTCTAAAGACAGTTACCAGTTCTTAAGTTTGAAATATGTTGCATTAGTCAGACCAATTAGGAGGTAAATATCACACAGTGATTTAAATTGGGGAAGTGAAACAAAAGGAATTGCTAACCTCTGATAGGGGAGTGTCTGTTGGATATAAGGAAGCCATATTTTGTGCTAGAGGTGTGGGATAGTACCCTTGGGAGGACAAGTTTGGGCAAGGTTGGCCTCAGCCCCCCCTTGGAGAAGTTGTGATTGCAGTCCCTGGATAGCATGAAGTCAGCTGAGCAAACAGGAGGTGACCTTCCCAGCACAGGGCAGGGCTCGGTGAGCCACAGCAGCTGGTGCAGCATGTGTGCTGGCAGAGGGCTGGGTGGCCAGTGTGGACAGGAGACCTGGGGTAAGGCTGGCAAGGTTATCACCAGGCTGCGCTGAAGGTGCAGGGTCCCTGGGGCAGCACATGTTCAAGGACTTGGAGCTGAGGCAGAACTGCCCCCACCCCTGACCACTATGCTGCAGCCAGCTGTGGCAGGAGAGCTGTCTCCTAAGTGTCCTTCCAACGCTGCTGAGGAACCTTAATATCATGTGTACAGTGGAGGAGCAAAGCCTAAGGATATTCTGTCCTTTATCAAAGAGTGGTTACAGAAGAGAGAATTTGGAACTAAGATGCCATGAACCAGTGAGTGGCACATGTCTTATAAGGATCTGTGAAGGTT